TTATACTCATGTTCTTTCCTTACAGAACTGGCATTTTCTTAGCATTCTTTCTTAGTGAATGCCACTACCATCCACCCAGCTGTACAAGTTAAAAACCTAGGCATCATTTTCAACAACTTACTCCCCCAGTTTGCATGTCTTTTCAACATAGAATCCTGTTGCTTTTGTCTCACAAGTCCCTCTCAAACGTTGTTCTCTCTATCCCTTTCACCTTTACTCTTAGTGAAGATACTACCCATCATCTTTTTACCTGCAGCCTCCCACTGGGTGATTTAGAATCATCTTTGCCTTCTCCCAATGTGGCCTCCATATTGTGGACAAGACCAATCTTTTAAAAACACAAGTAGAATTATATCAGCACACCTTTCCTCTAAATCCTCCCAAAACAATATACCATAACATAACGCCACAGAACAAGTCTTCAAGAGTTCCAGCTGACCTCAAGATAAAGTTGAAATGCCTATTCTACAAAACCTCATTATCTAGGCTTCTCTTATACCACCTCATCTTACTTTATACTTCAGCTCCCCTGGCCTTCTTTCAAATATGATGCTTCTTCCTGCTTATATATGCTACCTCCTCTTTTTGAACATCCCCTTTGCCTGTTCTCCATCTTCTCCTACTCTCTCACTTATTCACACATACCTGGAAAATTCTTTCTTCTCTGTCAGCTCTCAACTCAGGCATCTCTTGCCTTTGGAAAGTCTCTCTTCACTTTATTGGCCATATCTACGTATTGCACTATATTTTCTTTCAAGAACTTAACACAGGCTTCGTTTCATATTTATGTGATTATTACTACATATTTCTACTGTAAGTTTTATTATAGTAGGGACCATGTCTTCGTTTGCTTTTCTAAAATTGAGTACATTAAATACTCTCAATATTATTTGAAAGAGTAAGTAAACCAATAAAGTTGAAGACATGGGAGTGGATGAATGAGTCGTACAGTGGAGAAGTAGTCCTATGACGAGACTTAGAGAATACAACATTTTAATGTGAAGGCAAAGGGAGAAAAACAACATTGGGGGAGGAGAACAAAAAATGGACACAGAGGTGGCATAAACCGGGGGGTTTGAAGTGCTTTGAGAAAGCACCTAGAGAATGTGCTTTGAGAAATGTCACCTAGATACTGTGTCCCATACACTGCAAGAACTAAGGAATGTCCTCCTGTCTTAGCAGTAATTAAGTGGCTTTTAATGATCTCTTATGGGAACATGATAAGCAGAATCTGGCTTTTAAAGCAGAGAGAGAGAGAGAGTAGGTAAGGAATACAGAAGCTGAGGAACTGATTTTTATTCTTTTCTGGGTGTTTAATGAAAAGAGAAAGGAAAGACAGTATCCCAACTGGTCTTTCTATGATGTGGAGTACTGTTAACAGCTCCTTCCTGTAGAGTGAGGATGATGATTGGTAGAGACAGAAAAGAGGAGAGCCTTTGAGAATGAGAACCTTGAGAAAGGTAAGGAAATAGTAGTTAATGAAGTAAGGTTTTGGAGGAAATGTGTTCATTGTGTATGTCAAGGCCAATAAGCACTAGATCAAACAGGCATTAAAGAAGCTCTATGGCATTGACACCTCCAAGGTCAACACAGATTTGATACAGAGAAAAAAAGCATATATTCAACTGGCTCCTAACTATGATGCTTTGAATATTGTCAACAAAATTAAAATCATCTCAATTGAGTCCAAATGTATAATTCCAAATATATTGTTTTCACCATTAAGAAATGTTGAAATAAGAAATAAAAATAAAATGTATGTACACACACATGGAGGAATATTACTCAGTCATAAAAATGAAGGACAGCTTTCCATTTGCAACAGCATGCATGGACCTTGAGGACATTATGAAAAGTGAAATAAGTTAAACAGACAGGACTTTTGAGGAGAAGCCTGGTTCTGATGGAGCATGAGTAAAGGTGATCTGGGACAGGTGTGATTGAGGAAGCTTCCATGTAGAGGAAAAGGGCTGTGCAAAGCACAACCCACTTGGGGGGACTCTGAATGACTTGGAGTAAATGGAGCAGTCAGTGTGTCTGGTGATCGGCACAGGATCAGTTTGGGGAGAGATGTTGGCTATCAGATTCTGGTTTGAAGGATCCCATATATTATGATATGAGGTTTGATTTAATTCTGCCATCAATAAGAGCCAAGAAAAGTTTTAAGCAGTGGAATTAGATTTGCTTTTGAGAAAGATGCTTTTGATAGTCAAGGAGCCTGGGTCAGGGACACTCACAGTGGGCAGGGAGACTGACCACCATCTCAGTAGCCCCAAGAAGAAAGATAGGGGTGGGACTGGAGTGAGTAGTGACTCCTGTATAGGAAAACTGACCAGTACCTTGATCAAATGGTTACTGGGAGGTAGAGAAAAGAAGACTCAGAAGATGGCCTGGCTTCTGGCTTGGACAGCAGGGAAGACAGTGGTATCATTCACAGACACAGGGAAAACAGAAGGATGAACAGATTTTGTGGAGGAAGATGGTAACTTTTGAATGTGTTGAATTAGTGATGCACATGGGAAATCAATGTTGTTTAGCAAAGCAGATATATGTGACAGGAGCTCACCAGGCAGCTTGAGTGAAGCTGAAATCATATCTGAGCTTAACAGAGAACATATACAGCAAGGCGTGAGGAGCCAAGATCAGGATGTTGGGGAGCATCTCACTGAATCAGTGGAGTGAGGTCTGATGTGTGGAAACCAATAATGAGGGAAGGAAGAAGTAGGGGAGGGGGATAAGAGCTTTATGTCTGAGGCCTTCTTGGTGCCAACCAAGCAGATCTCTTCTTCTTCACAATAAGCTTCATTTTCCAGCCTCCTTGCCTTGAGTAGACCCAATGACTGGGAATGCAAAAGAATGTGATGAGATAAAATGTGCAATTAAGCAGGTCTGTTTTCCTCATGCACTTTTCCTTTCCATCCATGATTCCTTTGAAATGTGCATGTATAATGACCTCTGGAAGGAAAAGTACTCATTTGAATTTTATTTGTTATTTCAGCAGAGCCTCACCTGTCTTTCCGGAGTGAGAATGACTATATTTGAATTCTGTCTTTACATCTTTTTTTTTTTTTTTTTAAGATTTATTTATGCACACAGAACTGGGGTATAGGCCAGAGATGCAGGGGCAGTAAGAGGATTCACCAGAGACAGAATGGGGAGCAGAACAGGCAGACTGATGAAGTACACTGCTGAGGGGAGCAGCAGGCGGATCAGGAGAGGTCTGCCACACCATGTTGGTCACCTCCAGGGCGGGAATCTAACTCGTATGGAAGTGGCTTTAGCTTCTTAGTGCTTTGCTTTAACCTGCTGTGCCACCAGGGAGGACCTGTCTTTACATCTTAAAAAAAAAAAAAATGAAACTGCTTAATTTCTCTGTGTCTCAGTTCCTTATAATTCTAAACTGGTAATTAACTGAGCAACTGTCTTGGGTCAGTGTAAAGATTAATCATGTAAACCATAAAACCATATTTGGCTTGTAGCAGGTGCTCAATAAATGTAAGATCTTGCTTCATTTAATCTGATGCCACCAAAATTGTTATTACTTTATACTTAATGTTTGCTCCCTTTTAATTTTTACTTTTGTCTTCTGTGTTCTGGTATTTTACATTAAATGTCAAGTTTTGCTCAAATCTTATCTCTTTAATAAGTTCATACTGACCATCTTACTTACCACTATAATCTAGTCCCCAGCCTGTCATTCCTAACCCTCTTACCCTATTCTAGTTTTACTTTTCTCATAGACCTTATCACACCTCTGACAATTTAGTTCTGTGGTGTGAAGTCTTCTTTACTTAATCAGCTGGATTTCTTGTTATGGTTCATTTTTTGTACAGTCTGCAACTGTGGATTGGGAGTTTAGTTCCAAGAGTGGGTATTTTGCAATTGTCCCTATCAGAGCCTTAAGAGTTAGCAACTGGTCTCCAAAGGTGGATCACTGTATGGCCTGTTTGTGAGGCAGAATGGGAAGCAGTGTAGTGCACACATTAGCAAAAGTACCCTTAGTTCACTTCTTCACTCTGAATCCACTTGTGTAACTATAAACAAATTACTCTTTGTTTAATTTTCTTGTCCATGAGATAGACAATAATATCTATTTTCTAAAGATATGAAATAATGGTGAGACAGTAAAATTAAGGAACTTAGCACAATGCTTCATATGGATTAAGTGCTTAATAAATGATAAAAGATATGATAAATGTGTGATAGCTATTATGTCACTTCTCAATATCTCCTTGCTTTGTGTTACACAGGAAGAAACATAATGTGCTTGATAGTAGCTTCTGAATATGTATGTGAAATGCACAGCCGGCCATTCCATTTGGATATTGGTCAAATTTAACTGCTTTGTTTGTGACATATATTAGTTGAAAATGGAGGGGGAAAAAAACCCAGAAGAACATGTTCTCTGGGCTTTCAGCCATTGCAGAGAAGCAGTGATGAGAGGTGGAAGGAAATTTTAGACATTATCCTTTAAAAAAAAATAAAACCTAATTAGAGAGTTGGATCATTTGCCAACTATTTTGGATCATTAAAATATAGCAGAAGGAAAAGTTCTGCTGAGGCGAAAATGACCCAGATAGATTTATTTGCCTTTATTCAAACAGAACATGTATTTTACTTCTTGGCTATATTGTCCTCAGTCATTAGTTTCTTTTAAAGGTTAGAAATAGACAAGTAGAGCCTTGAACCTGTAACTGATGCTCAATAAACACCATTGGCTTATTATGAAAAGAGATAACAGAGGCAAATTTTCAGGCTAGAGAACCATTAGTAACCTCATTTCTGTCTCATGTACTCTTTGACCACAAAACTCACCTTATTTAATTGCCATTTTGTAATTGTGGATAACAGAGGGCTGAAGGACCAGAGCTAGTGAATGAGAGCTGTAGACTACTATGACTTATATGGGACATGTTATCTATAAACATTTCACAAACTGAATTGTAATTGGCTAAGATCAAAAACATTTGAACAAATAAATGTTTTTAGATTTTAATTACCTGGTCTTCATAATCAGACCCTGTGTCAATGATCTCTCCAGTGTCCAACATCATCAAAGGATCAAGGTCACTTGAACCTAAGATTAAGAAAGAAGAGATTAACTGACAGAGGTTGTATGTGTTGCTTCGGAAGCAAACAATATCCCTTGAGGATTCATATTGTTTTTATTACAAACATTTCTAAATCTTCCCATCTTTTGGCATGATATTTGAGTCATAGACCCAAAAAAATGCTGATTCTCTGGTTACTGTCATTACCCTAAGAAGACAATCTTGTGTAAGATGCTGATTTGTCAACAGCAACATTCAGAAGCTAAAATGCAAAGAACAACTAATTCTGACTAATAGTGGAGGTGATGGCAGAGGTAGAATTCTTCACAGGGGATGAGTCTATGAGCCCAAGCACTGCGGTGAATTAAGGTTCCAGAGAGAGAAGCGGTTTAAGAGTGTACAATAGTAACCAAGGTAGAAAGACCACCATGAGCAATATACAGAGTGGAGGAAGAGAAAGGAGGTTCTGAAAATAAAAGAATCAAGTGTGCTCATTTTGTGAAAACCTGAGAATTTTTCCCTCCGGGCTGGGTCAGATGAGGACAATTAAGCTAATTTACTGTCCTCACAGAAAGTTTCCTCCCAGTCACATGTACTACAAGTTACATTGAATAGCTAATGCATTAATTACTAGTGCTCAAACTCAAACCAGTAATTTTCATACTGAAGGCACAATGGAGTTATCACCTTCACTTGCTGAGAAGTAACTGTCACCTAACTAACCAGAAAGACAGAAATCAGTGGTGCCCATAAAATGCTATTCTTCACCCTGTGAAGAAACAAACCATTCCATGTTTCATTATAAACTTGGCCTAGCCCAATACACTTGGTTAGAATATGCAATGCCTAATGTTTAATAAAGATGGATTAAAAAAACAAAAACAAAAAGAAAACACCTAATATGCTTCTCAGATATGAACCTCTTCCAGTGATGCTCCTTCCACATTTTCTTCCAAATAAGAGTCCACATGTCTTTCCTTACCTCTTCCTTTCTCATCATCATCCTGGATGTTTACTAAATTGACTAAATACTAAACTATAACACCTCTTTTTATTATGTTTGCATCTGCAAAGCTCTCTGATAGGATAATAAAGTCCTTCAAAATGGAGATTCTTGACCCATCATACCATCTTGGAAAAGTAACTGACTACAGAGTTGCCATGTACAGTTGTACAATTGTGTACAACACAAGAATAGATGAAGCCAGTCACCTCTCCAGAGCAGCCCTTGCTAATTTGTTGTTAAGAAGGTGACCACATTCTTCTAAAATGGAACTGGCAAGACTAGGCACCACATGCTACTAACAGATTGAAACTAGAGGGGTCATACAGAAATTTTACATATAGCTTTTTTTTAAGTAGTGGGTGGGGTTCTATATAAAGTTTTAACTTTTGTGTTCCTTGGCACTTTTTCATATGCAAAGTTTACAAGGTATATTTTAAAACCTTGACTGTCTTGAAACCGAAGATCAACTGATTGTTCTTTATGTGCTGTGAGGAAGGGTGTCAAAAGCAAAATGTAGATTTTCCATTATAAGTTCAAGGGGATTTTAGAGCAGTATTTCAGCCTCCTATCCTCTTATTTTAGAAAAGAGGAAACTGAATCATGGTGAAATGAAATAACTTGACCAAGGTCATGTAGAAACTGACTGAGACTAAAGATAGAAGTCAGAGCTCCCATTCTAATCACACCCTGCAGACTTCAAGTTCTAAGTAAGAACATTCCAAATGGCTTTATGAGAATGTTCTTTCATTACAGTTCTCTACAGGTGAGGACATGGGTGAGTGTGCACTGCCTTCTTCCTATGGGAAAATAAGGAACAGTGAATGTGGGTGAGGAGCTGGGTTACCTAGTGGCTTCGGAAATGGAAGAGTCAGAAGTGGAACCCAGGAGTGTCTGTGTTCTGTGACAACCAGCTGGCTGCTCCCGGTAGCATTAAAAGCAATACCTATTTTACTTAACTTTCATTACGTTCACAGTGTGAGTATTATTCACCACCAACTAGTAGAAGCAGTGATAGGTGTATTCCAACTACAGCCTTACCACTGTAAGAATGATTCATGTGGAATGAGCAACGTGATCTGAACACAAAAGCTTATCACTGTTTTTGTTCCTGTGTCCTACTTATTTTCTTTCATTAGCAACTGTTCCTTCAGTTGTTTTGAAAAAGTACAATGTGAAGGGCTCTTAAACAACCCAGTTTGTCCACATTACATATTAATATTGAAACCACAACAAGAGTATTAGAAAACCATCTTCAGCAATAGTAGAATGAAAAAAAAAAAAGAACCTGTTTTAAAAAAAGAAGAACTATTGCTTCTAAGAAGAAATTGGTTTTCCTAATGAAGTGCTTTTAACGGAAATTTTATTGTGTCATTAAGGGATGGAATTTCTTGACACATCTTCACTCTTGGCAACAGTATTAATATATCATAGAAAGCAATAGACAAAGGGTGTCATTATCAACTCAGATAATGATTGAACAGCTTTCATTTTATTTTAGCATTGGCTGCTTGGCGAGCTGAAAATGGGACCTTTAATAATAGTCTAAAGTTTGACATACAAAACAGGGAGGTAAATATAGATGTATGTACACATTTTGGCTTTCTTTCATTGGACAATTTAACACAAAACAACTGCAGTGGGCTAACTCAAAAAAGACAGAAATTAGGGCATTTTGAAAAAGTGATAGTATGACATTTCTTCCCCTCTCTTTTGAATTTCTCAATTTCCACCCCCTTCCCAGATTTAAAAATATCTTTTCTGTAGATAACAGAAAGGTATAAGCTGAAATAGCACTCTACAGGGAGTACTCAGAGTCACCAGATTTAGATGCAGAATGGTCTTTGGAAGTAATATTTTCAGGTTGTTACCTTAAATTGAAGTAGAAATATGATACACACTGGCTTTAGAGGTATCACAAAGCTAATGATATTGCATCCGGTACATGGTTAAAGACTTTCCCCTTCTAGTGGTTTTTCAATCTGTCTCCTGGCCCTCTGCCCTTCATCTGCTCCTCTGAGAAAACTCTCTCTTGCCCTGTCTCTTCTGTTAAACTGGAAGCAGTTTTAAGTGGGCTTATATTTTATTTCCGAATGTAAGAATGAAACAGAAATGATATGAATTTGATGTATAAATGCTGAACAACTAAAAACTGAATAAAAAGGACAGCTACAGTTCACTTTTGCAGATTTTCATCTTATTCATTCACTCTATAAATATTAAATCCTCCTGGGCCCTCCCTCGTGGTGCAGCGGGTTAAAGCACAGCACTAAGAAGCTTAAGCCACTTCCGCATGAGTTCAATCCTCGCCTGCCCCGGAGGTGACCACAGGGCCAGCAGACTTCTCCTGACCCGCCTGCTGCTCCCCTCAGCAGTGTACTTCGTCAATCTGCCTGTTCTGCTCCCCACTCTGTCTCTGGTGAAGCCTCTCGCCCTCTGCATCTCTGGCCTGTACCCCGTTCTGTATGAATAAATAAATAAATAAATCTTTAAAACAAACAAACAAACAAACAAAAAACATTAAATCCTCCTAAGTGTCTTGGGCAGCAACTATGGAGAATTCAGCTCTAATTCTAGCACATCTGGACAGTGTTAATAACAGCCTGTATAGATCCCTTGGAAGAAAAGCGGTGCTATTTTTTCTGGAAAAATATCCTGATATTATTTGGGACTTGAAGATGAGCTTGTCATAGGATTTGAGTGTTGGTGGAGAGTTCTGGGTAAGAAAGGGGAGGATGTTCCACCTGTGGCCAAAGGGTTAGAAGGAGGAAGGAAGAGAGAAAGGGAGAAGAGAGGACAGTAAGACCTTTGAGGAAATAGGGGAAAGTTGTGTTATATAAAAGGTGGTCTTTCCCTGTGATCCCTATGTCCTCAGCAAAGACTAGTCTTTTCGATGTGATGGCCAATATTATATATAAGCAACTTCCTGCTCTTTATAGCAATCCTCTGAGATAGGTTCTATGATCATCTTTAGAGATAATCTTTAGAGATGGGGTAACTGGGGTCAGAGAAACGGAGTGACATAACCAGATGACTCTGCTACAAGTATTAACAGAGGACTCCAAGGAGGAGAAATCAAAGCAGAAGGGACACAGGGAAGTGGCATTGTATGACATGGAGGCAAGGAATGCATGCTCTGCTCACATAGCCAAACAAAAATTGGGGTGGCTATGAGGCAACACACCCGGCCGAGTAGCCCAGAGAGCAGCCAGCTGGAAGAGAAAGGATGGTGTGCCATCTGCTATGACATTCACACTTGATATCAACATCTCTCAATCTCAATCTGTCATTGCATGAAGTCTTGTACCCAATAAGGGAATTCAATTTTGAACATATTATATTTACCATACATTTAATTATACAGTCACTATTGCAATAAGTCCTTTGTAAGTCGCACAGGGTACCACTCGAGGACCTGATCTAGTTGAAAAGGTGCCTTGAGAAAATCACACTTAAAGGAGGATCTGGCCAGGGGGAGGATGGGGTTTGGTGTTGGGAGAGTAAAGGGGTGCAGCTGTGGTCAGAGGGTTCCAAGTAATTAGTGCAGAGGGCCAGAATAAGATGCTACTTGAGGCTTAAGGAGCTGGAGGAAGCTGGTATTGAGTTGGGGTGCTGGCGTGGCAGGAACAGGACACCGACACCAAGGAAACAGGGCTGTCTGCCATGCTAAGGACACTGGTGCTTACAGCAGGAAAGTCACTGAAGGCTTTGTCTTTTTTTTTTTTTTTAAGTCAGGGTGGCAGGATGATCAGAGCCACACTCTGAGGATCTCCATGGCAGCGAGAGGATTCACAGCACACGGGAGAGGCCAGGGCTGACGTAAAAGGTTGGTGAGGAATGACAAAGCCTTCACGAGTGCAGTAAGAACAGAGAACAGGGACTGGACTCCTAAGGTGTCCCTGAGGAACGATAAGGAGTGATGGCCAGGAGGGCAGGAACATTTTCATCTATCTCTTAAAAGAACAAAACTGCATGATCTTCCTGATACGTGGAATCTGAGAAAGTCAAATACACAGAGGCAGAGGATGGAAGGGTGCTACCAGGGGCCACGAGTTGGGGGGCTGGGGAGGTGTTGATCAAAGGGTACAGAGTTCTGGCAGATGAGTGAGTCTCGAGGGCTGGTGTGCAGCATGATGACTGTAAGCATACTGGACTGAGTACTGGATATTTCCTTTCCTTTTTTAAAAAAAGATTTCTTTATTCATGTATACAGAACTAGGGTGCAGGTCAGAGGTATGGGGCGGTGAAAGGATTCACCAGAGACAGAGTGGGGAGCAGAATAGGCAGACTGATGGAGTACACTGCTGAGGGAAGCAGCGGGCAGATCAGGAGAGGTCTGCCACTCCATGTGGGTCACCTCCCCAGCTGGGGATCAAACCAGTGCTGAAGCAGCTGACGGCAGCTAGCTTCTAGCTTTGCAGTGCTGCACTTTACTTAACCTGTTGTACCACCAGGGAGGGCCCTGAATACTGGATATTTTCTAAGAGAATTTTTTTTTAGGTGCTCATTCATCACACATGAGAAAATGGTTAATGATGTAAAAAGAAGATATGGTATGCACTGGCTGTAGCCACCAATTCACTATTTATATGCAAATCAGTTTATCATGTTGTGCATCTCAAATACATATTTTCACTAAAAAATTTCAAAAGGGTATTTTGCTGAGGAGCAGTGATTGTCCAATGTTGGAAGAAAATCTTAAGGAAATACAAGGATGGAGTTTAATGTTGTGATGGACAGTTTTGTCACATCAGAAATGCTCGTAGTCATTACCTTTATGCTACTTAATGCTGCTGACTTTTGTGCCCTTGATGGTTATAATAGTGACAGAAATATGTGGGCAGTTAAGACTCATTTTTCAATATCATCATTGAAGCCTGATTTTAAAAGAATAAAAATTATAATTACCTCTGATAACAAAAATCCCAAAAAATTTCAAAAGGAGTTGAAAGTCATTTACATGGAGGTGAAATGGTAACCGTGGCACTGTTGAGGTTCTGCAAAGAAAAAGGCTCTAGGTAAAGTGAAGAGTGGAGGGAAACCTGGGGCTGATGTGTCACAGAACACAACTTTTTATTTATTTTTATTTTGTTTAGCTCCTTCATTTGTTTTTAGAATAGACTTATTTTAAGGCTGGGGCTGATGTGTCACAGAACACAACTTTTTATTTAGTTTTATTTTGTTTAGCTCCATTTGTTTTTAGAATAGACTTATTTTAAGGCTGGAGCAGACTGCGTCTTTCAGGGGTCTTGGGAGGGAGCTACAGGAGGTGAACGCGTGAGCACTGTCTCCTTTGGCTATAAGCTTGGAGGAGACAAAGGAGAGAGTCAGCTCCTGGAAACTTCTGCTATGGGTCAGACCCTGCCAAGGGGACTTGGAGAGAAGGAGCAGGTAGTATTGAAGCAGGAAGTTTCCCAGATCTGCTTAGGTTCTGCTTCTTTCCCAGGCTTGCTGCTTGGGGGAGTCTGTTGCTTGGATTTGCTGCTTGCTGGAGCAGACAGTTCCTACAGTTACTGTTTGTCCATAGTAGGTGTTTGATAGAAGTTGTTTGATCACCTTCCCAAACAATAAAGACTATGATGGAAGGGATGACAAGGTTCCTCATACAAAACTGTATAAAACTTTACCATTCCTGGAATTCGGGGATCAGCCTGTGGGAACTTATCCTATTTAGCCTGCCAGCGTGACAAGTAAATCTCTCTCTGCCTCTCTGAGTGCCGTCTGATTTCTCTGGGAAATTGCTGTAATGGTGTCTGTGTCACGTACTGGCCAGCAGAGATGCATTACTGTAGGTCAGTTGCCCTGGACAAATATGACAGACAGGGTCTGGGGGCCTCTAGGGAAGGGCAGTTTCCTCAGCTCCTCCACTTTGCTGTACAAGCAACTGAGGATATTGAGCAGTCAGCTCCCTGTTATGAGAGGTCTAAATAAACATGTGAAACAAAACAACGTTCAGAGCACAGGTGCCATAGCATTTTTCAGAGCAGCATTTCTGTTTACATGATCTTACATGCTTCTCAAATACCCCATCTTTCCTTGTGTAGACCATCTTTTGCAAATATTATTGCAAAGTGAGGCAAGTGAGATGACATCAATTACCTATGTTCTAGGTGTGCTCAGAAAGACTACTGCCTTGCCTCCTACCCCCACCCCACTCCAATTATATTCGATTTTCCAATTGTTTGTATTCTTGTATAATTTGGGGAATAAAACTTCACACTTCTTATGTGTCCACGTTTCCCTGCACCCTTCACTAGAGCTTGACCCCCAGTGCCCATCACCTTCCCTCACCCCCCCACCCCCGTTCCTCTCATCTCACAAAGTGCAAGAATTGCTTTTGCTGTGCTTCCAAGTTCATTTTTTTTTCCTGCAAGTGAGCAAAACCACCCAGGAACTGTCTTTCACTTGCTGACTTATTTCACTTAGCATCATCACCTCAAGAGCCATCTATTTTGTCCCCAAAGGGACTATTTCATCTTTTTAAATAGCTGAGTAGTATTCCATTGAGTATGTTTTCTGTAATTCCTTTATCTGATTATCTGTTTTTGAACATTTAGGTTAGTTCCATAATGCGGCTATTGAGGATAATGCAGCTATGAACACAGGAGCACATGTCTTTTGTATTAATGTTTTCATAAATCTTTGAATAAATAACTAGCAGTGGCATTGCTGGATCATCTGTTATTTCCATTTTTATTTTTTTGAGGGGCTACCATTCCATTTTCCATTGAGCCTGCATCAAATTACATTTCACCAATAGTTCATGAGATTTCCTTTTTCTCCACATCCTCATCAACATTTGCTGTTTCTAGTTTTTTCAATATAGTTCATTATTGGGGTGAGGTGATACCTCATTATGGTTGATTTGTATTTGCTTCATAATAAATGTTGCTGAATATTTTTTTCATATCACTGAAGAGCATATTCTTTGAAGAAGTTATCTACTTAGGTCTCTTGCCCACAATTGACGGGGTTGTTGTATGTGTTGCTGAATTGTTAGAAATTAACCCTTTGTCAGATGTTGGATATGCTAATATTGTCTTCTGTTTCATAGGCTGACTTTTTGTTTTGTGGTGGTTTCTTTTGAAGTATAAATACTTTTAGTTTGATGTTGTTTCATTTGTTTATTTTTGCTTTTGTTGTCTTTGTCACTGGAGATGAGTCCCCAGACACATTGAAGTTCAGGAGTGTACCACTTATGTTTTCTTTTTTGTATTTTTAGGGTTTGGGGTCTTCTATCCAGGTTTTAATTAATCCATTTTGAATTAATTTTTGTGTAGGAGTGAAGTACTGATCTAGTTTATTTTTTTATGTTTTGTTTTGCATGTCGCTGTCCAAGTTCCCAAGACCATTTGTTAAAGAGGCTTTCCTTCCTCTCTTTGTCAAATATTAGCTCTGCATATTTGTATGGGTATATTTTTGGTTTCTTGCTGCTATTCCACTGTCCTGTGTTTCTGTTGTTTGTTCCAGTGCCATACTGTTTTGATTAAAGTTTGATTAATATAGTTTTAGGCCATCGAGTGTGTGTCCTCTATTTTTCTTTCAGAACTGCTTTGGATATTTGGGGTCTTCTGTGGTTCCACACAAATTTTATAATTGCTTGTTTCATTTCCTTGAAAATATGTCATTGGGATTTTGACAGGTATTGTATTGAATCTGTATATTGCTTTTATGTAATATGGCCATTTTAACATTGTTTATTATTTCAATTGATTAACAAAAGAAGTCTTTATTTGTGACTTCTTTTATTTCTTTTGACAGCTTCTTAGTTGTTAAGGTAAATTATTTTAATCCCATTTTACTGAGGTTTAAAAAATAACTGTAAAAATAACTGTAATAAACAGTTAAAAAATAACTGTGCTGAATCTTGTCAAATGCTTTTAAGCATGTATTGAAATGATACATGAATGTATCTTTCTTTTTGTTGATGTGTGCTGAGTGATATTGATTTCCATATGATGTACCATCTTTGGATTTCTGTAATGAATTCCACTTGATCATGGTGATGAATCTCTTTACATATTGTTGGATTCAATTTGCCAAGATTTTCTTGAGGAATTTTGCATCTATGTTTAGCATAGACATTGGTCTATAGTTTTCCTTTTTTAAGCTGTCTTTGCTTGGCTTGGAGCCAAGTTAATTTTGACCTCATAAAATGTACTTAAGTACATAAAATGTACTTTCCCTCCTTTTTGGTATTTTTGAATAGTTTGAGGATAGGTATTAGATCCTCTTTGAAGGTTTGGTAGAATCATTCTATCTTTCTTTGAAGTATCTTTTAATGGCATTCAAATACATTTAAAATTTTAAGTGTTGAGCTTTTCCTTTACGGCCTAGACATTTTGAGTCTTTACTCATTAAAGCCATAACTGAGAAGAAAGGTCAGGACAAAGATCATCCATGTGGAACTGACCATTGAAATCATGTAGGATGAGTTGCCTAAAAGTTAATAAGTAAAGTAAGGTGTGAGAATGGCCAAAATAGAATTGTGAATACTTTCTACCTGAGGAACATTATCACCCTGTAGGACAGAAGAGACATACATGAGTTAGGGAGTCCTGAAGGACACAGCAGATTGTTGAGTTCCAACTATTTACAAAGCCCAGACACTTGTCAGGAAATCAGGGTGTACCATTGCCCAAAAGACACAGTGACTTACCTGCTGCAGCCTCTTTGTTTGGAAATAACTTGCTGTCAACTGCCATGCTGATGTCATAGAACACCTCATCTTCATCTCGGTCCGCATCAAACTGGAGGAAATTAGGACAGACAAGATGGGAACATGAAATTACGTAAATTAGTTCATTCCAAAATAGAGTGAACATGCATCATGCAACGGTGACTCTAACGAAGTGCCACAGAGAATTAAAACTCCATGGCACTTGATTCAAACACTTAGGGACTTTTAAAGTTTACATTTTATTTATATCAAACAGAGTAGAGCATAAGAAAGTAAATGTATAATTACTTACAGTTGAGAAAAATGGGTAGAATTTTCTTATCATTTATAAAGCATACTTAAGGGAAAAAAGTGATAACTGAATCTACCAACTTTTGCCTTTCTGGCTCTTAGGTTTCTTTAAAAAAATGCGTGGGGCCTTGACCAGCAAGGCAAGGGGTTTTAGAGCCCCAGGGCCAGCCGAGGAAAGACTCGTCTTTCTACAAGGAGAGCTTTTATTCTTCTTCCTCTTGTTTCTTATTACAGTCATAGATAGATAGAGCATAAGGGCGGTACAGAAAGTGCCGGCAGAGGCTGGTCTTGATGGTTTGATGTCTCAAAGGCCAATGGGGTTGAGGGGAGGGGGCCATAGTCATCTTAAGGGAGACCACACTTATCTCGAGAGCAGAGATAAAACCTTTCTCAGGGGCAGGAATTTGCTGAGCTCGGAGGGAGGGGGCGGGGGAAGGGATTTGGGTGTGCTGTTTTCTCAACCGGGATATTTACCCTAAGTTCCAATCAAGTGTTGTTTTGTGCATAGGAGGCAAAGTCCTGGTCTTGGTCCGACAAAAAAACATGAAAATATGTAGTTCTTAATACAGAGGAGAGATTTTCTAATTAATTGTTAAGAAAGAAAAAAATAGTTTACTGTGCTATATGCCATGTTTAGATGTAATCTATAGATAGCATAGATTTAAATATAATAAAATTATAGACTTAAGATTTCATATTTTAATGGTTAAGTAGGGTTCCATTGTGTGTATGTAGTTAGTGTATATGTATGTGTACATGTAATCATACACACACTAAATCTTTTTTATCTACTTGTTGGTTATGGGTAAGTAGGCTGTTTTTGTAAACTGGGTATTGTAAATAATGCTACCATATAAGTGGGTTAGTGTTTTTGTATTAGTGTTTTGTATTTAAATAAATACTCAAAAGTCGAATAGCTACTTTCAGTCTTTTGAGGATTTCAATACTGTTTCCATACTATATTTATAGGAGCTGAACCAATTACCTTCTCACTACCAATGGACAAGAGTTCCCTTTTCTCCACATCCTCTCTAACACTTGTAATTTCTTGTTTCTGATAATAGCCATACTAACAGGTATGAACATCTTTTCATATACCCAAAGGCTGTCTGCATGTCTTCTTTGGATAAATGTCTATTCATATCCTTTGACCATTTTATAATAAGGATTTTTAAAGATTTCTATTATTGGAGTTGTAAAAATTACAGATTTATATATTTATTTTACCAACTCTAAAATTTATAAAGCTTTAAGTGTAAAAAAGCCCATGTGGTATATTTACGAGACCTCTAATTCTCAGATTGTTCAGTCATTTTTAAAAATGTACTTTTATCTCCTTGGGTTTAAAAAAAAATAGCTTAACTATTATAGTTGACATGCATACATAAACAGTGCATGTTTAAAGTATATAGATTGATAAGTTCTGACATCTACACATACTTATGAAACTACCATAAAAATAAATAGTGAATATCCATCATCTGCAAAGTTTCCTTGTGCCCCTTGAGAAGCTCTTCCTTCTGCCCCCACCCAGCTAACCAGTGTTCTATTTTCTGTAACTCAACTATGTTGCATTTTCTAAAATGCCATATATAAGGAATCGTACACAGTCTTTCTGTCTGAATTCTTTCACTGAGCATAATTATTTTGTTTTTAAATTAATTTATTTTAAAATTGTTTTTAACTGTGGTAATATTGGTTTATAGCACTATATATGATTGAGAAGTCTAAAAATCACACCCTTCAGGCATATGTTATCAGACCACAACTACCACCCAGGCACCCATTCCACCATCCATTGTCAGCACAATTATTTTGAAATTCAACAATGCTATATCCATATTCATTCCTTTTCATTGCTGAACAGCATTCCATTGTATGGACATACTGTTAATCCTGGGTATCTTTCACCCAAACATTGTGTTGTTCTTTTCTAGGTATTTGATTTGTGTCTTTTCAGATAAAATCTGTGTCTCTAAGATGTTGAACATCTCAAATACAATTACAGCAACTTCTAATTTCTTTCTCTGCTAATTCTAACATCTGTATCATTCTGAGTAGGTTTCTGATTTATTTTTTTTTCTCATCATTAAGGGGTATGTTTTCTTGTTTTTCTGCATGCCTGATAATTTTTTGATTGAATGCCAGGCACTGCCAATTTGACCATGTTGTATGCTAGATATTTTTGTATCCCTATAAATATTCTTGAGCTGTGATCTGGAAAGCAGTTTAGAAATAATTCAGTCCTTTCAGCACTGCTTTTAAGATTTGTTAGACTGACCCACAGCAGTGTTTAGTTTAGCAGTAATTATTTCACACGACTGAGGCAAGACACTTCTAAATACTCTGTCCAGGGCCTTGTGAATTAAGAGATTTTTCAGCTTAGCTGGTAAAAAGAGACACTAGTCCAAGTCTGGTGAGCACCAAGTATTGTTCCTGATAATTCCTTTGGGTCTGTTTCAGGTTGTTTTCGCCTGTGCATGCACTGATTCCTACCCTGCGGAATCCTGGAGGGGACTCTCTGCAGATCCCCAGAGTTTTTACTCCAGGCTCTCTCCTATCATTGATGCACTGTCCTCTGAACCCATTTCATCTTGGTCTCCTGGCCAGTGAGTTCTCATTCCCCAAGTCCTGGAGTCCACCAGTCTCCACAAGGCTTACATTGCACTGTAGGCTGGAAGTGCTCAGCAGATGGCTGGGCCACGTAGGGCCACATTTATTTCCTCTTTCTTGGGGAATCACTTTATTGCTTGATTGTCTTTTAAGACATTTTTTTTCTTTTTCTTTTTTGTTTATTTTTTGTTTCATGTGGGAAATACAATCCTCTCTTTTATTATCTTAAAAATATTTAAGAAGTGGGCCCTCCCTGGTGGCGCAATGGATTAAAGCACACTAGGAAGCTAGCCACAGCCGCTTCAGCATAAGGTCAATCCCCAGCCAGGGAAGTGACCCACATGGCTTGGTAGACCTCTTCTGACTCACCTGCTGCTCCCCTCTGCAGTGTATTTCAGTTAATCTGCCTGTTCTGCTCCCCACTCTGTCTCTGGTGAATCCTTTCACCATGACTGCACCTCTGGTCTGTATCCCAGTTCTTTATGCATAAATAAATAAATCTTTAAAAAAATTATTAAGAGTTAAATTACTTTTTTTCCAGTGACATGTTTCATTATTCTTGGTGAGGTAAGCTTAAAAGCCTAACTGAACAAGCTGTTTCCTGACCTCTGCCCACACAGTTGAAGCACTTCTGTGTGGGGTTTCCTGGGGCTGTCACTATGTCACATTGGCCCATGGAAAGATGAGGCACATAGCCTTCTTCTATTTTACAAATGAGGAAAAAGTTTCTCAGAGAGATTATGACTTTCTCAAGTCAAACAGCTAATAAGAAGGGGATCCAGGACTTGAACTTAGGACGACTGACACTTGCCATCTAACCAGTCTGCATTAATTGTCCCAGTAAGACAAATATTGTCTTTTGCTAAATGAGTATTAGCAGAGACCTTGGCTTACAAGCCAGGCCAAAAAAAAAAAAAAACCAGGTAGTGGTTAGAGCAGATGCAATGTGACTGCAAAGGTGGAATTAGGAACAGCCTAACGTAATACTTCCACACTTGTCTTTTTTCTTTAAAAATGTTATTTATCATCAATAAGTGGCAACATCATCTGAAAGACAGTTCCTTTTTTTTTTCCTGGACTTTTGAAGGATGGGTGACAGCACAGTCATATTATAAATCACAGAGCACAAGCTTATGGTATAGCCAGAGACCCCTTGAAGACAGAGCTTAAGGCAAAAGTTAGAGGCTGACACTTTTTTGGAGGTGGTATATGCATGTGCTGGTGTATGCACATGTCTGGGCAAACCCAGGGCAGGATGTGTCAATGAAACAGGAAAGCGAGGCAAAGAGGGAAGCAAAGTGAATGAGAGGTGGTACATTATTGAGCTGGTCCTCGGCATCCCAAGAAACTCAGTTTCCAGAAGAACTAAGTGGATGCACTGCACTCTCTCACAGGAGAGCAGGGAGACAGGAAGAGGCATTAGGCATTTGTGTGTCTGTTCCTTCTGTCTTCTGCTGTTCCAAATTTTCCTTTTGAAGAGTATGTCCCCTCTCCTCTCCTTTTTGGTGGTGTTCCTGAGCCCAGGGGCAGCCACTAGAAAGCCAAGACCCAAGTCCGAGGGAAGAGTAAATAAAGCATCTGAGTCTGGAAGCGCTGAGACCACCCATATAATATGGCCTCCGTAGGTCAGGTCTGGTTGGGCCTGGCGTCACCGGCAGAGACATCTACTTTTGGGGGGATGATGGGCCATCAGCCACATGGGAGGTGCCTGGCAGGCACACACTGTCTCCACTCCACAAGCACCTGATATCTAAGGGCATGTGGGGCCGAGCATGTCAGGGGAGTTTGTAAACTGGGGTCAGACAGCTTAAACTCAGCTAGAATTTTACCTCCCCTTCAGCAGCTGTCAATGAGCAGCTTATTTCCTACTGCTTTTAGCAGCTACACAATGGGGTTGATGTGTGGACAAAAGAGATGGTATATTTAGCATGCTGGAATAGAGGCTGGCAGGAATTGTGGTCCTTTTTCCTCTTGCATCCAGGGCCGCGGGAGTATGTGCTATTAGAGATGTCTAATTGCTGCTTTACTTGGCAGACCCACACACATCTAGGTACCCTTTCATCCTTTTTTGATTTGGAAATGGAGGAATAAAGACTACAAGTGATGTTGAGACTTTCTAGGGGATATTCTATCCTGCAACTGATATGAACAAAAGTATGTTTAGTT